CCACCAAACCCAGCTTGCCAGTTAGAGACCACCAACCTGAGCAGGGGATTCATTTCCCGGGGAGCCATCCTTCACCAAAGTGCCTCCCTGCTCTGTTTAGACCCGTCTTCATCTGCGCACTTGATTCCTGGGGCTGTTTAAATCCAGCCTCGTAATCACGGAAGCGACGCCAGACGCGTGCTAGGTGGACACTGGCGATTGGATCCTAGTTCCCAGGCCAGATTTTAAAATTCATTGTTTGCTTGCCTGTGCACGAGCGAATCTGAAACTCTGCAGTGGTGAGGAGGGGCAGGGAGCAGAGAATCTGCAAATGCAACGGGCTGGAGTGAGGACTGCGGGATTTATTCCAGCCCTGGGCCCCTGACCTCACAAACCGCTGCTGTGTCTCAGGATATCCCCACCGCCATCCACGTTCCCAACGGAGGGTTTTATTCCAGCTGTCCCCTTGCTAAGAAGTAGTGTGAATAGGACGTGGGTCTGGGAGGTCCAATCCCAGCTCTGCCACTGATCTACTACGACACCCTGGTCAAGGAGCTTAGCCTGCAAGCTCCATGACCCAACGGCTGAATCTCACGCTGTCTGTACAGCACCTAGCACAGGGAGGCCCTGATCTTGGCTGCAGTCTCTAGGAGATGCTAAGTTTCCTGTTTGCTCCCAACAGTGTTGCCAGCTACCGCAAGCCTTATGATAATGGGTACTTTTCTCAAAGCCTCAGCTCCTAGAATTGTATTACACAAGAGCCTCAGCTTTCATTTAAAACACAGGCACTGTCTAGCTCTCCTGGGTGCAGAGAAAAGCTGGGGAAATGGGACCCCGACAGTTTCAAAACACAGAACACGTGTCTCACTTTTTAAAAAAATCATTTGGTCTTTAAGTCAGTCTTCTGGTGCAAGAAGGGGGGGGGGGGGGGGGAGGAGGTGCCCAGCAACCGCTTTGGGTGGGTGAAATTTGCAACTGCAAATGAATCATGCAGGCAAATCACGCACCCCTCTAACGCTCTGATTCACCCCCTAAACGGGCGCTAGGGACGCGAGTGCCCAGTTCCCCCTCTGCAGGTCAGCTCCAGGTGCAGAAACGGAAGGGCAGATTTTTCAGGGTCAAACGACACCCAAAAGTGGCAGCCCAGCCTTTTGAAAACGTGGCACGAAATGTAACCCCTGCTGACAGGCTCCTTGCACGAACCGGGAGGGAGGGTGTCATGATTATGAGAGTTAGCCAGCAGCCTGGGGATTAAGGGGTTAACTACACCTAGCCAGGTGGAGTGACCAGTAGGAATGTAGGTGGGACTTTTCAAACTGGGACAAAGGAATTTGGGTTTTTCCTTTCTCCCTTTTGTCTCTCTGGGTGAGTTCTCTGCAGCTACAGAGAGGGACAAGCATGTCTCTCTCTCTCTCTCCAAGACACTATTCTTCATTTTCTGTAAGTAGGGTAAAGTTTAGGTAGTTTCGTTAGGTTTTATTGTTTTAAGGGTTGGGTATGGGATCTGAGATCTAGCACTGCTTAAGAGATGTTTTGGCTTTTCTTTGTAACTAAGTTCTAGGCCCATGGAGTTTCTCCATGAGTATATTTTGTTACCTCCCTATCTAGTCATTATGTTTGCAACAGGAATCTTGTTGTAATAATAAAAGCTCTTCCTTTTCTTTTTATTAACCTAGTAGTGGTTAATTGTGTGTCCTGATTTTTATTTTAGGGGTGAGATTTCCCAAATGATCTTTCCCCGGTTTCTTTAGCAACATTTGGGTGGTGGCAGCGGAAGTTTTATTCCCAAGATCTAGGGTTTTAAGATCTTGGGGGGAAGTTTTATACCAAAGCCTGGTAGATAAGGCTTTGGGGTACCCTTGCTGGCCCCCACTTCTGCATTTATCATGCCAGAGTGGGGAAGGAGCCGTGACAGAAGGTATGGAAGAGAATCCATCAGCCTCCACCGCAGCCTGAAACTCTTCGCCCACGGTGAGGGAGCGGCAAGCCACGGCCGGAAGGAAGGAGAACGGCACTGCCCCAGAAGTGAGAACTTCTATTAATATCATGAAAATCAGGGAGTGTGGAAAGACATTTCTACAGAGACAAGACTGGGCCAAACCCAAGAGCTCCAGCTCCAGCATTCCTCAGACCCTTTGTGAGCACTCGGGCTAAATACTGAGGTTCATGCTTAGGCAAAATGCCCATTACCAAGGGGCTCTGTATCTGGGTGTAACGCCCCCACGCACAAAACAACACCGACGTGTACACACACACACACACACACACACACCCCCGTAGGCACGAACACAACATGCTTCTTCACAAACGTACGTACAAAGCAGCGTAGACTCTGGATTTACGTCACACCCCAGCCCTACGGCTGTGCTGTGTCATCCACAGAACTATACATTCGCTCCTTCTCATGGAGGGGACAGAGACCTGATTAAAGCATCCGCTGCTGTGCTCCCAATCCTCCTGCTAGTGGCTGGATCCCAAGAAGAGGTCATGGCTCTACACTCGGTGCAATGTGATCCGGACCAAAGGGAAGGCTTGCTGCCAGCGATCTATCTGCCTGTCTCCATCCGGAGTACTCCGGGGAGAGGCTGCGATAGCAGACAGCGCGTGATGCTAAACTAAACACCTCTGTGTATTTGTCTAGCTGAACAAACACATCCGCAAACACTGCAAATCCTCCATCGATCGCCCGGCACGCTCCTGCCCCAGCGTGTCTGGCAGGCGTGCACCCCGTCAGGGCAGTAGTTTCTGTTTCAGACCTCACCCCCAGCGATCCAAGAGCACCTCTGGGGCCATACTAGGAGACCAGGGATGCCCAAGCTCTTGCCAAAGGGAACAGCAGAGATGATCCGGGGGTTTATCATCACAGGTGAGAGAGCGCGTGGCGCAGGGAACGCTGAGCAGCTGGCTGAGTGCCAGCAGGTACGGGTGGGGATTATGGGATTGGAGCCGTTTTACCGAGATGGGAGGAGGGTTGGGGGAGGGTCGTGCCACAGAGCAGCCGGTTTAACACGTAACTCTCTCCTCTCCCGAGCACAGACCGTGTCAGAGGGTCTGGCCCAGGCCGCTGCCCCCTCTCTAGCCATGGGGAATGGTTCTGTTGTAAGCCTCTATTCTGGGCCCCTTCAACGTGCGGCCCCTGCTCCTTCCTGGGCTCGCACGGAGGCTCCTGCCCTATGCATGAAGTATCTCGCGGCTCCGAAGGGGCCTGACGCTTTGTGCCCGCAGATGGGGCCAGGCAACGGCTGGAAGCGATGCCTCTGGCTGCCCTGGACGGGGGGGGGGAAGGCTTGCAGCCTGGGGCGAATGGAAAATGGGGGGAGACATGAAGCCATGGGACACCGGGGGGGACACGTTAGCACAACCCTAACACTGGATGCGTCTGATGGCTCAGAGCCAAAGCCTGGTTACGCACCCCGTGCCAGGGGCTTGCTTCCAGAGGAGGCATAGAAAATCAACTGCAGGGCACAGGCCCCGCATCGCCAGCTTCCTCACCAGCGGCAGCTGGGAACGGAGCAGAGCCTGCACACCCTCTGCCCCGAGCGCTGCCCATCATCCAGCCCCTCGCCATCGCCCTTGCTCTGCAAACCCCGCTGGAAGCCAGACGCCTTGCGATGGAGCCAGCTGTGCGTCACCCTGGCTGCGGGGCTGCAGCAAGCAGGGATCAGGCCAGCTCACCCCGGGACCCTGCCACGTCTGAGCTGTCTGTGCTCCCCCAGTCCACCGCCCCAAACCTCTCACTTGGGAGATGGCTCGGGACCTGGGACGCATCTCTGCCGGCTGGATCAGGACATTTGGGCTGCGTCATTACACCCACGTTTACACCCGCCCCAAAAACTCACGACTGCAGCCATCTAGTTCCTCCCCAGCACTAGGAAGTCACAAGTCAGGCCTAAGCCAGTACCAGTCTCCAAGCATTAGGCCTTTTCCCCAGCATACTATGAAACCCCACCAGTATTTTACTAACTCTCCCGTGGAGTCGCGTGGGCCCAGGACCCTGAAAAAATCAGATCAGTTACACACACTGGGAGAATCCAGATCCACACAGGAACGCTACTGACGTTCACAGACGGGAATGGGTGGCAGGTGCATTCAGAACATGCTGTACAATGCGATCACACGCTAACGTCTCAGAGCGAGTGTCCTGCCGTGTGATTTGGGCTCAACGTGACCTCGCACTCAGTTCGTATTTTTAGATTTCCTTCCCAACCAAAGGGACAACGCTTCATTTTTAATGAACGCTCCAAGTCCAGCGCGTCGAGCTGGCGACCAACGTCCTTCCCAACCATCATTATGGCTAACACCATTCAGCAAGCACAACGCCGGACATGAGCAGACCTGAAACATAGATGCCTTAGATTTTGCTACAGTCAAGAGGTGAGTCAGTTTCCAAATCCGAGGCAAGAAGTGGCGAGTCTCAGCAAACCGTAACAACTGGGAACGGGCCTGTTCCAAAATAAGTGCAACTCGGAATCCGCTCCAGACTGACAAGCCAAGCGCTCAGAAGCAGCCCCCGGTGCCCGCCAGCAAAGGGCCACGAGGCTGAACGACGCTATTCACGCAAGGAGCCGCAGTCACTGCTTGGCGTGAAAACCAGGACACCTCTTCCACGGGTGAGAAGGAACACAGGGACCCCACTGGACAACGGCCATTGGCTCCTGCATGGGGCTGGGGCCAGCCCGGCGCTCCTGCCGGGAACCCACGAGGCTCTCCATTCACCGAGCCAGCCCTTGTGTTGGGCAGGACGCTACTCCCCATTCTCTTCCTGGGCACCAGGGTCAGGGCCCTGCCCTCAGCACCCGGCTACCTTCTGCCGCCTGGCCGGGCAGCTCGCTGTGCGCACAGTCTGCAGGGGAGCTGGGGGCCAGTGGGGCTAATAAAACGAGGGCAATGCCACGGGTGTGACTGAAGCCGCTCCGACGGCAAATAGCTCCCTCGCCCCATTCCCAAACCTCCTTCCCCCCGCCCATGCACGGTGCTCTTGGGGCGCAGGCAGAATGCAGCGGGAGATGCCCCGCGCCTACCTGAATGGCTTCTGTGGTGCGACGAGGCCAGCGTCAGCCTCCCCCAGAGCGTGACAAGGCAGAGAGCGAGCAGCCAGACCCATTTGCTCCAACTCTGGGGGTCGCTGTCACTCATTCTAGTGGGAGCAGAGAGAAGGGGAGTCAAAGGGGAGCCAGCTTGGCGCGCAGAGAGAGGCGGCATGCGGCTGCTCTCACAGCTGTGCGGGCTGGCGCATGAGGCCCCGGCATGCAGCGGAGGCCCAGGGTCACAGCTGGAATGGCCGCGGCTCCTGCACGGGTCACGGGGCGCACGCAGGCATTTCGCTCAACCAGCTCGGCCCTTTGGGGGCCTCCCAGCGCAGCGCGGTCCCTGCGGGAGCTGCCCTTCAGAGGGAGGCCAGGAACGGTGCACCGGGACGAGGGGCCGGTGAGACCCAGGCCCTGGAGGGACGCCGGGAACGGCTCACCGGGACAAGGGGCCAGTGAGACCCAGGCCCTGGAGGGACGCCGGGAACGGCTCACCGGGACAAGGGGCCAGTGAGACCCAGGCCCTGGAGGGACGCCGGGAACGGCTCACCGGGACAAGGGGCCAGTGAGACCCAGGCCCTGGAGGGACGCCGGGAACGGCTCACCGGGACAAGGGGCCAGTGAGACCCAGGCCCTGGAGGGACGCCGGGAACGGCTCACCGGGACAAGGGGCCAGTGAGACCCAGGCCCTGGAGGGACGCCGGGAACGGCTCACCGGGACAAGGGGCCAGTGAGACCCAGGCCCTGGAGGGACGCCGGGAACGGCTCACCGGGACAAGGGGCCAGTGAGACCCAGGCCCTGGAGGGACGCCGGGAACGGCTCACCGGGACAAGGGGCCAGTGAGACCCAGGCCCTGGAGGGACGCCGGGAACGGCTCACCGGGACAAGGGGCCAGTGAGACCCAGGCCCTGGAGGGACGCCGGGAACGGCTCACCGGGACAAGGGGCCAGTGAGACCCAGGCCCTGGAGGGACGCCGGGAACGGCTCACCGGGACAAGGGGCCAGTGAGACCCAGGCTCTGGAGGGACGCCGGGAACGGCTCACCGGGACGAGGGGCCAGTGAGACCCAGGCCCCTGCTGGCTGTGGCACAGAGACCCCTTACAGGGAGAGAGAGTCTCCTGGGCCCAGCTTTTAGCTCAGGCGACAGTGGCTCGTGCATTGGGCGCCAGAGGCCCCAGGCTCGGCTCCGCTTGTCAGCCTGCACCCGAACCTGCCCACCTGCCTTTCACTGCACAGTCAGACAAGGGCTTGTTCTCCGGTTCCAAGGCTTCCCACCCCTGTGGGCCCCCTTCCCTCCAGCAGCGCCCAGGGGGCGAGAGGGAGTCTCCCTTCTTGGCTGGAGTTTAAAAGGATGAAGTGTCCCAGGCTCTCCCCACCCCCGACGGAAGGCGCCACTCTGGGCCCAGAGCATTTCTACGCTGAGCAGGGTGAAAGGGGCCACCCCCCTGCGGTGACGCGTTCCCCTTCCCGCGGAGGGCCCTTCGGGCTCTGGAAGCCGCCTCCTCTGTGGCCGTGCCACGCCGGCACTTACCTCTTACTGGGCTTTCGCAGCCACGGCTTGTGCATGCACGGATCTGCGGGAGGCCTGCTCTCTCCCGCCGAGGGCAAACATCAGGGCATCTGAAAGCAGAGAGAGAAAGAGCCACGCGACTAACGGCGCCCTCGAGGCGCCGCCACCGGACAGGATCCCGGCCCGAGCCAGCAGGGCCCATGGTCTCCTGTGTGCCACCCGCAGGTACATCAGCGACTTCAGGGCCCTGACTACAGCCTGCTGGGACCTGACGGAGCCCAGGCCAAATAGCCACGTCCCTGTAAAACTTCCGTGCCGAGCCAGGAGCTCTGGCAGGAACGCTGGAGTCAGCGAATACAATCCCTGCTGTGACAGGCTGACCTGACGTAGGGCCAGGGAGCAACCTACCCATCAGCACGGGCTGACAGAATCCTAGGCCCGGAAGGGCCCTCGAGAGGTCACCAAGTCCAGTCCCTGGCCCTCCCTGCCCGGCCCGAGCCAGCAGGGCCCATGGTCTCCTGTGTGCCACCCGCAGGTACATCAGCGACTTCAGGGCCCTGACTACAGCCTGCTGGGACCTGACGGAGCCCAGGCCAAATAGCCACGTCCCTGTAAAACTTCCGTGCCGAGCCAGGAGCTCTGGCAGGAACGCTGGAGTCAGCGAATACAATCCCTGCTGTGACAGGCTGACCTGACGTAGGGCCAGGGAGCAACCTACCCATCAGCACGGGCTGACAGAATCCTAGGCCCGGAAGGGCCCTCGAGAGGTCACCAAGTCCAGTCCCTGGCCCTCCCTGCAGGACCCAGCACCATCTAGACCACCCCTGCCTGGTGTCTGTCCAGCTTGCCCTTCGATATCTCCAGAGACGGGGATTCCACAGCCTGCCCGGGCAATTCATTCCCATGGTGGTTATTGCAGACCCGCCCCGTCCAAACAGGCTGACGCGCCAGGCCCCGCAGCCAGTGAGGGGCTGTGTGCACTGCGCAGGAGAGGGCCCCTGCCCCGAGGAGCTTACAATCTACGCAGACAGGACAGGCACAGACGGGATGCGACTTGCCCAAGGGAAGAGACCCCAGATCGTCTAAGCTTCCATCCTGTGTCCCAAATGCGAGACCAGCTGCTGCCTCTTTCTGGGCAGCCTGGCCGGCGCCATGTGCACCTCCGGAGAAGCCTGCTAGGTGCAGGGTGGCCCAGACTCAGGGAGCAGCCACTCTCTGTCTGGAGCGCACCTGCACTGGTCACCAAGGAGTTAAACGGCTCGTCTGCCAGAGACCTTTCCCACTCTCGCTGCTACGACTGCCCGTCACTACGCTGTGCCCAAGCTCTTCTCCAGGCCGGCCCTGCCCCGCTGCACCCCGCTCCCCGCCCCGCGGGCATGCTCGCAAGGGCAGTCCCGGGACAGCAGGGAATCGTTCCAAGCCCTCCACCACCCCTGCCCGCGACGGAGTCACTCCTCCTCCCCCGCAGCCAGAGACGGCCCAGCCCAAGTCGGGGCACAATGCGCCAGGAGGGGACCCGCCATCCTGGGAGTCCGCTGACGGGTCCCCTCTTCCCCAGCCCTGATGCGAACAGGCCCCGTGGCCTGGCCATGCGAGCAGGCATTTTTCAGGAGGCAGGTCAGACGAGGTGGGTTGCCAGCTGGCGGGATTCCCCCGGCGGAGCCGCAAGCACCTGCCCCCGTTCCCAGGCACGTCACAGCCTGGGGGGGCCGTTCTCAGGGAGCCCTGCGCTCTGGCCTCTGCCGGTGCCAGAGAGAGCTGGGCA